CGCACAACGCTCGCCCATTCACTCACGGGGTCCGTGAGTGTCCGTCATTGACGTTCACTCGCGCGTCAACCTTTACGACCCGCGTCAACGTCTTCCTCGATCCCACATCGGGAAAAGACGCCGTCTGATCGATCATAAAAAATGCTACGTCTTATCGAGAATGCGCTAATTTACTAGTCTTAAAACACGATACTTTACGAGCGACAGACCGCGTTATCCGTCAGTAGAACGCTCCGGTATGCACTTTTTTTACACCGCTCTTTTACGTCGCTCAGTGAAATGAACGATCGACAGTGCGCGGAATAAAAATGAGGCTTACCGAGCGTGTTCCAGAAACATTTAAGTTATGAACAATAAATGCGTTTTTCTCAAGAGTTTATTACTATGAACTTAATTCTCACTGAACGATTGTTGAAAAAATAATAAATTTACAGAGCTAATAGTTATTATTATTCAACATTGAAAAAATAAGCATCTTTCTAATAAAAATTGATTTTCTTTGTGATCCTGAATATCTATCTATATTGGATGAACAGGATCGTCATGCAGAATAGTTGAATATTTTTTATTTGAAGTCGTTTGAAAACTAGTTTTAATAAAAAAGAAAAAAAAGCGACACATAATCTTGTTATGTCACGAAAATGATTCGCTAAACTCTTATTTGAATAAGAATGAAATATCTTATATGCAAATGTCTCATGTTCAGGCTCATCAAATTCAACATTTTAGATGCCGATTCTCAATCTTATAAATGAATGTGAATTTTGAATGCATCAGTCCATCGGATTTTGAATGCATTCGCATTTAATGTAAGAATATTAAACATTTCTATAGCATATGAAATATTAAACCAATTTTTTAATTAATTCTGTCTTTTAATATTTTAAAATATTAAATTGTTACTAATATTTGCACTACATATGCTGTAAAAAGCTCACGTCTGCTTTCTATTTTATTTGAATTTGTGAAGTAAAAAATTAAAAATAATAAATTCAATACAACGCAAAGAATTAAAAAAAATGACCTGATTATTATAAAATTAAAAAAAGATTTTAGGGAATTTTCTATAATTGCGAAGTGACACTAAGTTTTCAGTTCGGCTTTATTTGAAGCTCATTTTTGTGCGTGTGTGCTACGCAAGCAATCAGTACTTAATTCTAAACTGACTTTCAAACTTTGATTATAAGTTTTGTGACTGATCCTTCTTCATTAAAAGTTGTTAGCCTTTTGAAATTCAATAACATTTTTAGGTTCAATAACACATTCAAACTCAATAATACCAATAAAAACCTTCTAAAATTGAGTTTTAATATAATCAGATTATTTCTTAGAAGCATCAGAATTCTGAGGTTAGAATCGAATGTGTGTATATGAATTCTAATCTCAAAACATATAATTAAATATACGTGTATTTGTAATTATTAAATAATTTTTTATACAATTGAATATTTCAACAACTTTGTGTTATTATACCTAACAAGAGATCATAAACTCAAAGACAAAGGTCAGCGAACAAGCCTCTCGTGGATCAATTAACAATATGACAATGGCTTCTCCCGATCACAGTCACGCCGATGTAATGGCTCTTACGTTTTCATGTGCGTATACGCAGGCATGGGACAGGTGGAGGAATTCGCGGGCGTGTCGCCGTATATATATGAAAAACGCGGGACATTGCCTCCTACCATGACCCACTGACACACAAATAATGAAATAATTAAATGCTTTTCTGTTGTTATTCAACATGTCGTTACAGATGCCTCATTATGTTTTTACTCATGAGATTAAAAACGATTGACGCAATTCTTGTATCTTTTTTGCTAATAGATAGAATCTCACGCATATCTCACACAATATAATATAACTGAAAAATATCACTGAAAAAATTCAATGTCAAAGTTCAACTCAAAATTATAAATGTTTGAATTTTTGTTTATGATGGTTTCGGAATGTGTTTTAAATATGTCGAAATTCAACGAAATTAATTTGAAAAGTATGTGAGATATTGGTATACCTCTACTGAGACTTTGTTTTATAGCTATATTTAAAAATTGAACTGCAATATGTTCTCTGGAAGTATTTTATCATTATACAAAAATAACACTTCGCGGTTTCATGACTCATCGAATTATGAAACCGCTACATATTAATGTATGTATAATCAATATATTCTTTGAAGCAGGTTATACTTACTGTATGTCCTCATGAAAGCAATTTAATTTTAATTTTATATATAAGCTAAATTTAAAAAAAAGTGTATTTGATTTAAAAAATTTATGAATTTGTACTGTAAAAAAATTTACCAACGCGTTTTACTAACGTTTAAATGTGTAAAAAACTTTAATTTCTATATTTTTAATCTTTTTACTATTAGAGTTGATTGAATAATGCATAATGTTTCTCTGAAAGGATGTCTCTTTATTAAAGAATCAGTATAAAAAGAAAATCTTCAAAAAGTTCAATAATTATTAGTAAAGTGTTATATGACTTAATATGATAACAAAGTAGCAAACGTTTATAAAAGATGACAAGTAAGAACAAAATAGCATTTATAATTATAACCTGTGAGTTAATCGAGAATTTACATGCATTTTATATAAGTTTATTCTGCGAAAGCATTTAAAAACGTTTATTGTTAACATTTAATAAGAAACATTTTCATGTCTATTTTCACGTAATAGTTCGGTTAAGTTGTCCAATGAAAATTGACGGCGAGTGTTTGCTATAAGCAAACAGCTTAATCGGTGTTTAAAAGCGCATAATTATATCCCATGTAAGTATGTGTGTTAATTTTATAGTTATTTTTGTAAAATTGCAATTTACAATCTTGTGATCATGATTGTTGATTAGTGTGTGTACTACGCGTCAAAAAAATATGGCTGACAACGGCGCCTTGCTGTAATTACTGGCTGATGAGCAGAAAAGACTATCGAAAGGAAATAATCTTGTTTATGCAATTCCAGTGATTGGAATACAATCACTGAGATCGCGTCAGAAGAATTCTTTTGATTTAAACGACTAATGCACACAATTTATTATTTTACCTTACGCGTCACCTCACTTACTCTCGAAATTTTCATCTTTGTCAGCAATGAGTGAATTTATTGTATACAATAATCACCTGGTACCGTTACGGTCTTGTGAACACTTTCGGTGAACCCTGAAAGTTAGCTACTCTTTGAATGCGGCGGATGTCCGGTACAAATTTTTCATATCTCTTTCTCCCTCTGGACAAACGTGATATTTATTGATTATTTCTTAATTTATATTGATTATTTCTTATTTTATATTTCAAGGAAATATTCTGGTTTTGTAATTTATCAGTTTGACATGTGTGCATTATTTGTTAAACACGCAATGAAAACTCGAACATCTTATTTTGAATGTTGTATTTGGAATGTATCTAAACGTTTTATTCGTATTATCACATAAATGTCGGCAAAATATAATTTCATAATATTAACATAACTTATGACATAAAATCTTATCGTAAATCAGGATGTCAAATTCGAATAAATGAATCGTTCATCTTCTATTTGAATGGAAACAAATGACATACATTCATAGCTCTATTATCAAACAATGGTTGACATATCCACTTTATAACATAAACTACTTTTCACTCTGACCCTATTTGCACTGCATCCGTTGGATACGTTGGAGGGTATTCATTTTGCATTTAAAGTCATTGTTTCTGAAGTCGGATAATAAATTGCATTTTTAAATGTCATTTTAAGATAATTCTTCGTTTGTTTGATTATTTCCACGTGTGAGTTTATATTTGAAGAGATATATAAAATGCAAAAAGTAAAATTATAGAACAAATCAGATCACTTCTGATTTCCTATTACGTCGTATTTCCTATTAACGATCGATCGATATCTGATTTTATTACAAAAGTAAATTCACGATCGGGGAATATTACGCGTGAGGAGCGTATCTTCGAAACTCATAAAATCGATTTAGCCGTGACACACTTTTCACTAATTCCCTAGCCGGTTTCAAAGCACACATACCGTTTACGATTTTGTAGAATGATCTAGCTATTATCGATTGTACGCTCGTACTGATCCTATTGATGCGAAGTGGCACTCATTGAAAGCGAAATTGTGAAATAATTTATCTATAAAGTTCTTCCTTCTTTCATACAAAACTTGTTTTGTGTACATCTGTCACGTGAGGCAACGCATCATCGATTTATTAATATCCATGATACTTTGAAATTAAAATAAATTATTACAATACTTCTTAAGCGAGCGATCATGTGTGTAGTGTAGGGACTAACATTGTGGTATTGAAGAAGTGCTGATATTTCCCAATCTTTTAAATTCAAAAAGATATTTGAAAAGAGAAAAGAGCATACACGATAACCGATACTTCGAAATTCATTCACACAATCAGGACCGTACTTGAAATGAGAGATGGATTTCGCCCATTTTTGTGCCTCGAGAATGACAAATTCTTACATCGTTACTGTGATTTATTAAGCAAAGTGTATCACAAATATTTACCGCTAACTCATTCTTTATACGAAACACCTGATACATAAGTTTCGGTGAACACAACTGCTTTATGTCTTTTTTTTATAACGTTTGTGGATTGTGATAATTTATTATAACGTAATAAAGAGATATGTGAAGAAATAAAACTATTTTTTTCAAAGACGTAATATGCTATTATATTATATTATAATATATGATACAATTTTGTGCAAATTATCATTCATATGAATATCATGAAATTAGCTTTTAAAGAAATTAAAGACTTTGCTCAAATCGAATAGTAGATTTTCACAGTGAAGTAAAAATTATTGTTATCTTATATTATTGTTATCTTATATATAAATCGATATGACGACTTTACGTTGGATGCTTATTGGTCTATAGACGGTTTTGTGCTACGCTATGCTATGCAATGCTATATACTTATGCATTTTGAGTGCTATAACCCTTATATTTGTTTATATAATTAATTTAAGAGTAAATCCTTTGTTTTTGCAGATGGCGTGGCTCTGTTTACAAGCTTATCTGGCGGGAACTATTGGCGTACCTGTTCTTCTACTACCTCATCAATTTTACATACCGATACGTGCTTAATGAGCATCAGCGGCAGTGAGTACACGAATATTCCTGGAACTAACTAATTCCCATAAATTCCATTCTTTATGAGGGCGCAGGCGGCTAAGGAAACTTCAAACAGGAAAAGAAACGTTTCGAAGTAAAATGCATCCTCGTTAATATTAGAGCGACGAAGCACATCTTTTCATTAAATTTTTTTTTTCGTATTCGATGACAATTATTCCCGGCCGTAATTTAATTCTATACAATCGCCTTGGAGGAAACGTAGGAAGCATAATATGGGTTTAGCGGATTAAACTCAAGGCGATGCGGGGTAGGAAATGTGTTCAATGTATATATAAATAATTTAAGCAGACAATGTTTGTCTCTTGCAAGGGGAACAGCGATTTAATCCTGCACTTTTCGTTGTTTATTCGTTTCTTATCATGAATAACGCCAAATTCAACGATCGGCTAGCTGGTGCGTGAGCGTACCTGCTATAACTGTATTTTATGGACGTAGATAAACCCGTACAATATCAACCTTGGCCCGCCAACAAATCCGAAGGTTCCAACATTTTGATCACGGCAATGCGTATCGGTTAATATCAAAAAATTTATAATACCTTCCTTTTCTTAATTTTTATTGTTATATTTGTCACGCACATTTGGTAACCTTTCCTTCGTTTACCTTTGTCATATTCCGATCGATTCGATCGGAAAAGGTTATCGCATTTATCAGTAAATAGCAATCTACAAATATAAAATATGTATTAAATTTTAATAATATTAAAAGTGTAAAATTACTCCTCGAGTTCTTAAGTATTCATTATTTGTATACTACTTTCGTAATCTGTTCATCACATTGTCTGTAAAATTAATCGAGGTATTCTATCTTTGGTAATATATGCACAGAAAAACATTGCAGATTTTAAATAAATATTTACTCCAATAGTACTAACGAATTATTTACTAAATGTGAAAATATATTTATTCGATTTAAACATAACTATCTTATTTTGAATAAATATTTATTTATAAATAAATATTTCGTTAATACTATTGGAGTAAATATTTATTTAAAATCTGCAAATTTATTTTCAGTGTGTAAAATATATTTTTACTACAAAATAATTAGACAATCGCTGCGGGTGACTCGTACTCAAGGATAATTAATGGACATCTACAGTAAATGCAAATGACTCTTTAACTGCAAATATAATTACGACACATATTTAAATAGTAATACGTAATATAAGCTTAAAAGATTTCGATTGTATAGAGGTGATGTTATTATTACTTAATAAATTTGTAATTTAAAAAATATATATCTAAACAGATGTAACAGTTTCCTCTAAGATTTACTTAAATCATTTAAACATTAATGCAATTAAAATCACTAATTATTTACAATGTACGATTTCTAAAAGGATTCTTTTGGTACATCTTATACAAGAGATACATGAAACGTGTTTAACAGGAATTCGTGTCTGACATTAAAAAAGGACTTAAAAACATAACCTGTTATTTATGTGGGGCTGAAAAAGGGGGATAAAGAAGTGCCAGAAGAAAGCGCAAGGATGTAAAAAAAAAATTTCTCTTTTAAATCGCTTCGATTCGTCCGCGCTAAATTTAGAACTGTAAAGATGGCTTAAGGCAGGTTTAGGATCCAGGCTAAAGAATGAAATAAGCGATTTAGTATTATTGAATAGGACTAAGCGGACTGTACGCGGTAAGATTAATTATCCTTCGTTAAGATTTCTTTTGTCCTCAGAGTTATCTGAAAATCTGCTACTTTTTTTAGACTGTGAAATACCCCTTCGTGTCTTGATATACCATCGTAAAAAATATTTTTTTAAATTATCAGATTATTTTTTTTAACATATCTTGAAGAAAGTATTTGATATTGCTGTGTCATTATTCGAATTATTATACATGATATCAATATCAGTTCCTTATGGCCATGATATTGTACGTTCAAGTAACGGTAAGTCAATATTACTTCAAGAGTGCGAATGCCAGTTATTCGCGGAAATTCCAACATAAACCTACTTACTGAAGCATCCTGGAATCGTGCTAATCGTTCAGAATTGATGTGTGAAGTCGTAAAAATAAAGACGGCTACTTTTATGCGCGATGATTACGCTCTTCTTAAAATGACCCGTTGCAAGGCAATAACCGATATTGACGAGCGAAGCGAATAAGGAATTCAGAAAGGATGGAAAATGCTTTCGATAAAGCCGATTTGCTTTCGCTTGCGATTAATCGCGAAAACAAAATAGAAATTAGCATTTTTTAATATTAATTTATCAGGGTGTAAGGCTGAGTCGTCTACGAATGTGTGCGAGTGACGCATCTGAACCTCGCTCTAATTCGCTTATACGCGAATTTATACATAAAATTTTATTTAATCTATAATAAACTTTAACGATATTTGAATATCATCCTAATATCTTAAATAAATTAGTCTTCTGTAATCCCTCACCAAACATATTTTTTTATACTTTTATTCTTCTTTAATTTATTAATTATAACAGCACAATAGTATAATAATATAATATGGCTGAAATGTACATAAAGATATTTTGTTTTAACATAAAGAAGAGTAGCAAATAAAATTTAAATAAGGGATTGTTTATTGTTATATTGAAAAGTATATTTATCTGTTCTACAGAATTTTCGAAAAAATTCGTTACTACTTCGGCAACTCCAGCGAATCTATACCTATGTCATTCGTCCTGGGATTTTACGTAAGCCTTGTTGTGAAGAGATGGTGGGAGCAGTACAAGCTTTTACCCTGGCCGGATAATCTGGCCCTCTTCATCAGCGCCGCCATTCCTGGAAACGTAAGTAGAACCTGCCCATCGAGAAGAGGTTTCCTTTGTTGGTTTCAAACACGATTAAAAATGCAATGGCAACAAAGCGTTCTTCTTAGAAGGATATCGCTGTTTTCATTCGTAAAAGTATTGTGCGAAAAACAAAACCATTTTAGAGTAAAAAAAACTTAAAGCAACTTTTTAAACGCGAAATAATAGTTTTTTTTTCTGAGAAGACTCGCGTTAATAGATGCAACCTTGCTTCGGATAGTCGCTCGTGTTACGTTTGGTCTCATTACGTTAATGAATTGCCATGACACGTTTTGGTGTCGTTAACCTAAGTAGGTGCCAATCCAGTCATACCACGCCCAGAAGCTAAAAAAATGTGAGGGACGATCCTATAATTTTACAACAGATAGCAAATTTGTCTTTTCATTCTTTCACACAACTAATATAAAAGAACGGAAATTGGTGTATTATTTGCCAAGACCTTGGCATAAATAAATATTCCATTTGTATTTATAATTAGTTCACTTGTGATAAGCATGTAAGACTTGTTCAGCGATAAAAGTTAATTTATTCTTCTTTAAATCAAAACGCAACCATTTGCACAATTTAGATATAATTGTCTTTATTAGATATGCTAAAATATACGTATATGCCATCTTCAATATTTCCTCTATTAGAAGCAATCATCATTACAATCTAATCACTAATACTTAAATTTTCTAAGAGAATACTGTCTAATTATTGTATGAGACGTAAAGCTTCAATTTCGACAACAAAGGCTAGTTCGGTGCAAGCTTCCACCTCTGGTCAATGACTCAGTGTCGGAGTGAAAGTGCAATGTACCGTGGCGAAAAAAAAGGATGAACCTACGCGCGCACGTCATGCACACCTCACACATGCACACATATATTCTTCTTCAATACATACTGATCTATTACTAAATTACTTCAATCGATTTCTAATAAAATATATGTCCATCGGTCATCGAGTGCTACATTCGTGCTACACGCGACTTGCAATCTTCAATTGCTGTTAGCATTATACTAATAGAGCACAAATTGATCAATCGCCGCTAAATGATTTAATCGTTTCCTTATATGCAATCGCCCTCTTCGCCTTACTCATTTAGATCAGCACTAATTTCATGTATTAAACCGCATAGAACGCGCGTCCAGAATGCAACGATTTTCGAGAAAGTTTCGAGAAAAAGTGGTTTGATTGCACGACGTCCCCCTCGCCATGCGTACTGTTATTTCTGTTGAAAATATCGTTATAGATTTTTAAATCCGAAGCTAGCCAAAGTGTCGCGTTATGCAGAGCATGAAAGAATGTTGGATTAATTTCATGATTTTCTGACGTTTATTATTACTCACGTTGCAATATCAGTGAGAGATACAAGCACCTGTGCTACCGCATAAATTTTACTGCTTGTAAATTCCACTTGTCTATCTTCTGACTGTCATTCCATCATCTTCACGCGAGAAGCATTATCGCGTTTATGTACAGCAACACGCGCTTCTTCAGTCGATGATTCACGAATTCATTGTGGTCTTTTAATTTGCAATATGATAACAATTTCGACTTCATCAATAAAGGACTATGCCCAATTTTATAGAGAAATTTGGACCCCGGATGAACAACTTTGAGACATGCCTAAAATTTTAAGATATCAAAAGAGAATCAAAAATTCCGTAAACCTAACTTTATAGGAAGTAAAATACTCAATTTGTACAATAAGTAAAGTCTTTACATAAAGCAAAAAATATAGGTACATTTGCATCAAATATATAATTAACTTTTCGTAGACACATATATTTTTAGTTATTTCGTAGGCACTCTTTTTTGTTCAGCTCAAATTTTTTTACTATGTCTAGGTTTTCAAAAAATCTAGAAAAATTCAAGATTACTTTTCAACATCTCTGCTACATTGTCAAATGGTTATTTAACTTAAATGTTAAAATCTTTATTTAATAAAAATTGAAATTTATGCCAAAAAATTTTACAGCGAAATTTTGCCTTAAAAAAGATTCAGTGTGTCTAGAAGGGTTAAAATAGTCTCCTGAGAATTATAATTTTAAACGATCAAGTTTTCATTAAAATTACTTGGATAGAAATTTTAAAGAGATCAAAATTGCATTAGGCGTGTTTGAGACATATTAACGATATTTAAAATTACTCTCTTTAATTGATATTGTTACGTTCTTTCACGAATTTTCGATTCAAAGCGCAGCAATTACGTGCATGCAAAAGCATGCGTGCAATTGCGTGCGTACAGTACAGTGAATCTCTAGGAACGATGCGGGTTTCGATGGAATTTTTGCACGTAGGTAGGGGACAAGGTCCTCAGCCACGGAACGAGCCCATGGTTATATACATACACTCGTGGTCATGTAATCGCGTAATACAGAGTGTCCGATTTGTGAATGAGCGGTGACAATGGTCAACACGGGTTCCTGAACTGTGTCTTTCATTGAAATCTAATTGGAATGCAAGTCCCGAGAGACGAGACGATCGTTGTTCTGCTACCTTTCCCCCCGCAAAGAGGATAGTTCACAAGCTGCCAAATCAGGCATTTTTACATGCGCGACGGGTAAGTCGCAGAATTCCGAGGAAGGAGTTGTCTTGTTTTTCGTACGTGCAAGTGAAAGATGACGAAAAGGCCATCGAAAAGATAACGGTGCTGTGGTAACATCGGACAATGATCCGATTCAGAAAGATCAGAATTGCGGAAAGAGAAAGCTAGGAATCGTTTTAAGAGTGGAAAATTTTTACTGTTTCCTCTTTTTAAAAATATTTTACAATATGCGGTTGTAACTGTATAATCAATAAAGCTTGGTGTAATCTCTTATGACAGATCTATTACGTATTTGAGAAGGTTTATAGCTCATCGCTGTAAGCGAAGAATGCAAGGAACCTCTGTGGAGGCGAAGTTAATTAATGTGTGATGTATAAGGTATCGATAGTTGTGAAGAAAAGATATTTTAATAACATAAATGAACTCCGACTTCTTTGCAATTTATAAATTCAAATCTCAAGTATTTCCAACCTTTAACTATATAATGTTTCTTCAAAGTTGCGACAATTTGAGCATACAGAAAATCTGAATGTCGACATCGTCGATCATTTCCGATTAAATTGATATTCTTCCAAGCGATCGCAACCGGCGACGGATTGCAAAACGCGCGATTGGTTACAAAAGTACGCGTTAATGTTCAGAAGAAGAAAGGAAAATAGCAAACGCCACCGGGCACTTTTTCTCCGATTAATACTAGAACAGTTCAAAATGGTAGCAATGAATATGGACAGAGAGAAGCGTACAATATCGGGCCAAGAGGACAAGGGGAAAGTATGCACGAGACGTAGAAACGTGTCTGGCATTTGTTAAAATGAATTTTGAAGTCGGCGCCGTTTTCGCTACCGATATCGAACTTTTATTGCAAACTTTTATTGCGCATTTTTCTCAAAGTAGTAAATTTAAACCGCGAATTGAATAATTAAAAAAATTTTTTAGCGCGTTTAAAATATTATTGGCGCGAGTTTATTACGTAAGGTAAATCAGTTTAAATTAATAAGAAAATTAATGTATTAAACATGTTTATCTTAAGTTTACCAAGAGAAATACGAAGTATAATTAATTATAATGAAGTATAATTAACGTGTACATGTTTGTCTGTTTCAGGATGAACGGGGGCGATTGATGAGACGCAACATTGTGAGGTATGCCGTGCTCGCGTACGTCATTACACTGCAAAGGATTTCGCTCCGCGTTAAGAGGCGTTTCCCGACTCTTCAGCATATGGTAGATGTAGGTCAGTAAGTTATATATTTTTGAAATGTATGTTTAAATAATACACACTAACATGCGAAATGTAATACGGAGGATGCCCTAAAGTATCCGCTTTCTAATCGCATGATATCAGTAATTCAAACATATGGAAATTGAACTTAATCTCACAAAATATAATATTCTTGAAAGTGTTTATAGCTGTGATCATAATTAATTTACATATAAATACAGAACAAAGATCAAATTAATATATTTATTATTCTAATTACTTATTTAATATATTTGTTATTCTAATAATTCATTTGAAACTACGAAATTGCTTTGATGAAACATTCGTCCTTTCTATAAATCGGATTATAATAACAAATTATCAAAATAGCTTAACAAAACTAATTATAATTGGAAAAATTTCTAATATGTTATTATTATTATTTATTATTCTCTCGATGAGGAATATTATCCTTAACATTGATTTCCACGGATAATTGCGATTAAGTTACTTTTTATAATCACTAATATTGTTTGCATCTTCAGTAAACATTACTTTGAAGTTTTTTTCACAATATTTTTCCACATAATTTAATTATTAATCTTCAGAAATTAATCAACTATTGGTGAAATTTTCTCTATAATTACCTTTATATAAATAACATCTATATGTATATAAAAAAAGCTATTTTTAAGACATCTTAAAATATCTATAGCAATTATCCTAATAATTCTCTTACGCAATATTGCTATTGGTGTGACTACAATCGATGTCATTATTGGTATTTCTTCCTACTTACGATTACTGATGTATTGTAATAATCACGATACGGTTAAAAATATCGTCAATAATTATAATACCGGCGCCAGTATTATTGTTCAAACTTTTTATAATTCGTTAGATATCTAGCCATTCTTGTCAATGAATGCAACGAATGAAGATGATATCCCACCTGCACTGAGCAGAGGTCGCTTTCTTCTTTGTACACGAGCTCGCAGCTCTTTTATCGCATTATATGTCAGCTTTTCAGTCGACGGGTAAAGCCGTTCACCACGTCATCCATAGATATACAATATAATGCAGCTTCGCCGCGTGTGCCATGATGGCGCAAGGACAGCCTGGTAGTTCTGACTTTTTTCGTAGCTCTTTGCATGTAACTGTGTCGGCAATCACACGCGATATCGTGACTATTGAACGTTCGACAACTATAACGCTTCTGTAATGCGATAGGCGAAATAATGGATGATGGCGGAACAAAGTCGCGTATTTCAGTAGTTAACGCATTAAACGATACTAAACGGTGTAATATTAAATATTCGCCTACCTAATATCGTTACAAACGATAATTCACTTTTAGCTTTGTTTAATATGTTAGACATAATTATCAAATTTGACAACTTTAGATATAAATATGATTAATGAGACACAAATTAAAAATGGAATATTTTTATTGGAGAATGATTCAATATTATTGCGGGCTATTTTATTTATTAATTCGTATCTATCAGTCATATTCTGTTCAAGTAAGCAATTCGTTTTTGATAGGATGAATATTTTTATAAAAATCAATAGAAATTTGTTAACTGTTTGTTAACTTAATCACTAGAAGGTTATCAGAATTAATCTGATAAACAAATACGAATAAGGTAAAATAAATAATATCTTTATCTAAGCAATTCTCTTCAATTTGTCAAGTTATCTCATTATACAGATGTAAAATTTCTCCATTGTTTCATTATCTTTGCTGCTTCCTATAATTTTATCGTCTGCAAAGAAACCTACGTATGTTCAGCTTCTTACGATCCAACTGTTAAAGCGGATGTTACTCCAGAAATAGATTACATTTCTCCAATAAGGATCCCGCGAATGCTCCATGAACATGAGGATACTATCCATCCTTAGATCAAGGAACAAGTAGTGGAATCTACAATAAGAACCCGCTCTTTCGTGGAAATGACTGACTTCGCAGCGGGATAACGAAAGAAATATGTCGGCGCGACGAAGAAGCTTGGCTCTTAGAAGACAAACAGGATCTAAACAGGAATCGTTACTATCGTGGAAACAAAATCTGCTCGACAATAGCACGCTTTGAATGACAGTTTCATTAATAATACATATGTGAAAAATGCATTGCATTTCTATAAATAAAGTAATGCCAGCTTTTTCTAGTCTTAATGGAAAATAGTCGTTTATGTAATGAAATAATCATTAAATCATGAAACTAAAGAAATGTCAACGGAATACTGATACAATTTTTACGATATATGCATTAGAAATGTAACAATTCTCACGTTGTGCAAACAGTACATTACCATTGTTGTCACCATTGAGGAAGGAATGAGGAAGGAAATACACGCAGAAGGTGTTCGCGCATTATAAATTTTGCAGCTGCAATAAAACAAAAAGAAGACATTTTCTGTAAGCTGCTCATCCTGACTCTTGATGAAATGCATTTATATTATTTAACGTGTAAATGTATTACAATAATTCTATAATTGGATTTAATGAGAAAGAAAATTAATACGGTAGATATAATAAATCAAACTAAGTTTACATCCAAATTTGCAAATATGCTTTTTATTATTCAGAATAAGTTCTCAGAAAAAGTCAAAATCTTTAATATATAATATGTATGAATAAAAGATCTTGTGGGAACAGGTGTATCTCGAAGAAAAGCATGATATCATATTTTCTTTTTGAAATACAGGTTCAAGACAATATGTCAATATATGAAAAAGTTATGAGCAAGAAAATTATTAACGCAAATATATATGCACGTAATTTATACCTACGTACGTCAGACTCCAAATAAACACTACACTTTGATAAGAGAGGTGTATATTGTAAAAATGCGATATTAATTTTTATTAATATATATATATATACGTTTAGAAAAGAGTCTAATAATGGCTGTTAAATGTTGAATAAAACAATTTTTCAAATATTTAGTTTACACAAGTAAAAATAATTTTACTTTTTTAAATATTTTGTAAGTATTATCAAATTTTGCAAGTATTACATTATAATATAACTAATCGTTTAATAATAATTAATAAATATTTAGAAACGTAAAATTATTTTATATCAAGCGCGGACATTTGATTGAAATTATTTTACTCAACATTTGGTAGCTATTACCATTCTTTTTTCAATATGTATTCAAAAAGCATACAATATACGGAAAATTGATTTTAATCAATCGTTTTTTGTATTTTATTGTGTCTTTAATTAAAATGTGACATATTCGAAGCTACACACTATAATATTACACACTATATAATATTCAGTGTGACAAAGTCGTATAATAAATTTCGCAGAACTGACCGCACTCAACAGATATCTTTTTCAAGAAGACCATTTGTGTGTAGCATACATACGTATGTGGTAATGCAAAATTGCCACGGACGTCATTCAAAATGATTTCATGCATGCGCGTGTCCAACGACTGGTCGTTGACATTGATGAAGCATTACGAAAGACACGGAATAAATTTGCCGCTATGACTCGTGTCAGTATTTACATGTATATTTGTCAAGGAATCACTTGAGCCTGAAGTTCAATTCTAGTAAGAAACAGGAAATACGGACTTCATCTCGTATTCTTCCAAACGACAATTACGAAGTCAAAAATATAATAGTTTATTTCTGAACTGAAATTTTTTTATTATGATATTTCATTCGAAATAATTTTGAACGAAGTAAACTTGCAGTCTTATTCTCGACTTAACTTTTAAACTCAACAGCTATAAATTACCTCATGAATTGAAAATATATTCATATTACATCTTAAATGAGCGTTTCGCGAGTGCGATATCAATAATGAGATGGACGTTGGCGCCGAAGATCCTCGTAAGAAAGTCATTCCGTTGCGTGTCTGTGATCGCGAACGATCGTGCGAGATTACAGTGCGACGAGAAGAAATCTCGAAACTCGAGTCTTGAAAGTAGTCGAAATTATCCGTGTGTACCCAATTCCCCCCGCGAATTACGATCTGGAAATCGTCAGGCGCCGCGACGGCGGTCGCACTCGTCTATGCTGTCGACCGCGACTGCTTCTCGCGCGCCGGCAGGCAATTTTCACGTGCGTCCGGGTAATTTTCAACGAGCACGCCGAGAGACCGCTTAGAAACGCGGAGCGCCGGCGCCAGTTCCTCGTCCTTTTCCTTTTCTTTCTCAGCGTGAACTTGTTGTTTTGCACTCGCATAGCTGGAGCAAGCAGCATCTCACCGCTTCTTACGGGCTTCTTCTTCCTTTGCCTCATGCACCTCGTCCTGTTCTCGTTCTTGCGTGCCGCTCCTTCCTCCTGGTGTATACAGAAATAACCCGATGCGATTGCGGCCGATCCGATGCGCTAATGCCGTGCGTCGCTCGATAATCATCGGTCACGTCTTCGCGATTTCCTCGAGAGGAGTTTCTTGGTCTTGGACTCTTGTTTCTCTCTTTTTCTTGTAACTATCCATTGATTTTCACCGTTAACGCGTGATACGCTTTTCTCTCTGGCTGGTCACTTAGCCGTTTCAAGTGCAGGCAAATCTCTTTTTGTTTCAAGATTATGATCCACCGGTTTATTAATGGTTAGACGAGCACTTTAAATATATTTGCCATTAAGTTAATAGCTCTTAGATAAAATTATAACTTTTTTCTGACGATATGTCTATCCGTCAATCTGATCAATTCAAATGAAGCAACTAGCCTATTAGCTCCATTTAGAGCAATTATTGTGTTATTCTATTGTGGACGCGATATGATGCTCGGGCGAGCGGTGGAAGTTATTTTAGTATCTGTAAGATTCTTTGCAATTAAATCGAACTAGATGTTAAATATAGCCAGAGTAATGAGAGCCGTAATCTAGCCAAGACTGCAGGTGGTAATCGGCTAGACGGTATCACGCTGGCTATACATGCTGTCATTTCGCCTTCTTCGTTAGCTCAACCAGTCGCGAAGGCTTCAGGAATCACTGCTAGCCGACATTATCATCATCATCATCATCATCATCATCATCAGTGGCATCCTCAAGTCCATGTCAGCGAGAGCA